AGTAACAACTTTAGCATGGGCTGCTATCGCGTATCAATCACAGCTCCAAGCTGCTGGAGAATTTAAAAATGTTCAGTCTGCTATCAAATGGGGCACTGATTATTTCTTGAAAGCCACTTCTAAGCGTAATCACTTCTATGTCCAGGTCGGTCCCAAATCCCAATACTTTCCAACAATATTGAGAATTAATGTAGGTCTAAATTTATCAAGATCTAAAGGTGCATTATTTTTGAAAGGTTGGAGATCCAGTAAAAGATCATGAATGTTGGACAAGGCCAGAAAACATGAAAACGCCGAGAACTGTACTAATGATAGACCAGAATAATCCTGGAACAGAGATTGCTGCTGAGACTTCTGCAGCAATGGCTGCTGCTTCTGTTGTATTTCGTGGAACCAATCGTACCTATGCCCGTCAACTTCTCAATAAAGCCAAACTGGTACTCATTCTATATCCTCATTGTGTGATCTTTTATATCATTTGGCTCCTAAATTTTATGCTCATAGTATTTTCTTGGTTTGTGGTTCAGCTTTTTCAGTTTGCCAAAAGCCATAAAGGAACTTATGATGGGGAATGCCCTTTCTATTGCTCCTTTTCTGGCTTTCATGTAATATCCCTCTCCCTTATGTTCATTTTATATTGTTAATTAGTTACATGCAGGTTATTGTAATTTGTTAGTCAACTAAAATGTGCAAAAAATGTAGGATGAGTTGTTGTGGGCAGCAACATGGCTATATAGAGCAACCAGGAGGCCAACATACTTGGAATTCATTCAAGAAGAGGCTACTACTGCAACTGTAGCTGAATTTAGTTGGGACCTTAAATATGCTGGAGCTCAAATACTCCTCTCTAAGGTAATAATTAAAACTCTTTCTTTATAGCGACGCGAATGTGTGGTGCCATGCAACCACACCAGGGCGCGATTGGGGTCGAAAAAAGTGCTGATATTCGGTCCATAATATGCAGTTCTATTTTGAAGGGGAGAAAGATTTACAGAATTTTAAGCAACAGGCTGATGGTTATATTTGCTCAATACTTCCACATAGCCCCCATCACCAGGTTTATATATCTCCAGGTACTTCTTTGTTTTGTACATAGAAAAATTCATGTCTTTCATCTATTGAGCTTGTTTCAATGGTTTAACATGTTCAACTGCCAAATGTGTAATTTATCAGGGGGTCTGCTTCACCTTAGAGATGGAGCTAATACTCAATATGTTACTGCCACAGCTTTTCTGTTTAGTGTTTATAGTGATTATCTAGCCAAGCATAAGCAAAAGGTCAGCTGTGGTAACAAACAGTTCAATTCAGCTGATCTCATGGCCTTTGCCAAGCAACAGGTAATATATATTAGCGCTTTTCTGATGCTTCTCGCAATTTTAATCTTAGCAATAGGCCAGCCCTGGACAAAAATTTCTAACGCCGTCATACTCATTAGAGCTATTTCTGCCACTGTATTTTTAGTGGAGTACTATACTTTTTATTTGGAACAGGAGACGTTCTAAAACCTTATGCCCGTGTATGTTGGCACATCTTTAAATTGTCATTGAGAAATGAAAGCACAAAGTTTCTTATGAATTATTAAAATATGCAGATGGACTATATACTAGGCAAAAACCCAAGAGGAAAATCATACATGGTTGGTTTTGGGAACAAACCTCCAACTCAAGCTCATCACAGAGGTGCCTCTGTCCCGAAAATGTCTCCCAACAAACTGGTGGACTGCTCCATGAGTTTTGTATACTGGTATAACACAGAAAAACCCAATCCTAATGAGCTAACAGGCGCCATTGTTGGTGGTCCTGATCGATATGATAACTTTGAAGATCGTCGTTCAACTTCAGCCATGACTGAGCCGACAACATATACAAATTCTCTGGCTGTTGGTGTCCTTGCCAAGCTCGCGAAGCACCATGCCCCGTCTTGATCACCTAGCTACATGTTCATTATGGTGAAGATTTCTGAAGGTGTATAAGTTATTTTTTGCAGATGAATTGAGAGTATATATAGTGATGTCTTTGTAGGTCCTATATATGTAGTGACAGCCTCGGATAGCAGGCTGCAAGGGATCGGGGAAAATAACCTCGAGTTTGTCTCTCCTTTTTTCAACAGATCAGATGTGTTTAACTTAGAATAGGATTCTTATGATGGTCTAGAATCTAAGGTATTACTGTTGCAGTGTTGATTAGTTACATAAAGTCTGCACCCAAGAAGAGTACTTTCTTGTGGTGGTTTTAAAGATGAAGTGTTGTGTACATTTGTAAGGAAACACATATTTGAATAACAGTCATTCCAAGATCCTTACTATGAGTTAGTTTCTAACAACACAAATCTCTCAACCTCCCATCAATGGAACAGTGGGCTGTACTTCAATTTTTTCCATATGAAAATCAAACGACGCTGACGCATGCATGTCTTTGACATCATATACTCATCTTTAATATCAAAATTATATTTGTCATCCCAGGAATACTAGCACTCCCTTGCATTTCATTTAAATCACGACGTCTCGATGTAGTACTTGACAGGTAAAAGCATTGTTTCTAAATTGGTTGACAAAATAGCGAGCGCCGAGCGCAAATATGGTAACTAAAAGCGCAGAAGATCAGCCGTATTAAAGAAACCAAAAATTTCTAACATCGCAGATCAACATTAATAACAAACTCAAATACTGAGTAGTGTTTATGCGAGGCTGGCTGCTTCATAAAATACAGGACCTCGGATGCAAAGAAGAGGCAATACAACAAAATCCAATGAAGGAATAAAGAACAAGCTTCGAAACATTTCATTCAACTTTATGATTTGTACAAGCTAACATCAGAAGATAACAAAATATATGAATCTGCAACAGAGTTTGCAGTTTGAAATTGGAATAGCAGTTAACATTAATGAATGAAATAAAATGTAGAACTATGCAACTATTTTACTGAGGCATGTATTGCAAAGCTGGCGTCATTCATCAATGGCAGAAATACCTTTTCTTTGTAAGGAATACTGATCGACTAGCTATAAGCATATGTACAACAGTCAATTTATTTTTTTAACTAAAAGGGGGCTCACCTGAGATCACAGGCTGCCTATACGTACCACCAAAAAAATCCTAAAGAGGGATCAAGCCCACACATAGTTGTTTACATATATAGTATTCAATTGTATTGTTTTTTAACTAAGAAGGGGCTGCACCTGATCATCTTGTTTGCAGGCTGCCTACGTACCCCTAACAAATCCTAAAGAGGGGATCAAGCCCACACGTAGTTCTTTACATATACAGTATTCAATTGTATTTTTTTAAACTAAAAAGGGGCTGCACCTGAGTTCATCTTGGTCACAGGCTGCCTACGTACCCCACTAACAAATCCTAAAGAGGGATCAAGCCTACACGTAGTTCTTTTACATATATTACAAATCAATTATCAATCTGAGTATCTACTTTCAGTATCGCCAGCAGCCTTCCGCGAGTTCCCTTGTCTAATTTCTTCAGATTCCCTTCTCTGATTATTGCATCAATGTCCTATGATCAGATCACGCTTATGTGGTTGTGTCTTGAATGCTATCTTGTGCTGCGGTCTGCGTAAGATGATCTTTAGCTTTTTAGCTGTCTTTGTTGCAGGGCTGGACTTTATCTGCTACTTTGGACGAATTCAGAAACGGATAGTTCAATAGCATGTCGGCGGCTGTCCAACGTGAACTGGGATTCTTGATTGCTGTTTTCTGCTGCGGTCTGCGTAAAATAATCTTTAGCTTCTTAGTTGTCTTTGTTGCAGTCTGGACATTGTCTGCTACTTTGGATGAATTCAGAAACGGATGGTTCAATAGCATCTCCGCTGTCCAACGTGATCTGGGATTCTTGACTAGACACCTCTTCAAAAAATCTTGTGCTTCGTTCGACAACTTTGCATTCTGAAACATTGGTTCCTCAAACCCGATTCTGTATAAAACATTCGAATCTTGACTATCTTCATCTGATTCCCACAGCGGTGTCCCCGTCATCAACTCGTAGACAGTGCAACCGAGAGCCCATATATCAACTTCTGTTCCGTACTTTTCGTCAACCACGGATTCTGGTGCCAAATACCTTTCAGTTCCTCTCAGTCCCTGATTTCCTGTTCTGCTCTGTTCCAAAGTCATAGAGAGCCCGAAATCCGCAATCTTGGCAGTTTCATCAGTGCCCGCAAGAAGAATGTTATCGGGCTTGATGTCGCAATGAATAACTCCTCTATTGTGTATGTGAATGAGACCTAAAACAATGTTCGTCGTGTGTTTTCTAACTTCAAATTCTGACAGTCCTTTCCCTGAGTTGTAGTTGTGAAGACGATCGGCTAAGCTTCCTCCGGAGGCATATTCGAGTAGTAAGTTGTAAACGGCAACGCCATCTTGTAGTTCAATATTAGGTCTGAAACAGTGAATAATGAAAGGCGAGTCCGCAAACATGCTGAGGAATGCCTCTTCATATTGCAACGATTGAGAGCGATGGAGTAAGCAAGTTTTCACGGCGATGAGAGGTGGAAGACGCTCTAACGTGGGAGGTTGATTATCGGACGTTGAAGCTAAAGAAACAACCCCATATCCACCTTTACCCAGTATTCTCACTCTCTTCCACAAGACTGAAGCCATTTCTGAAAGTAATTTGTGAATGTATGCTGCTGCTGCTTCCTACTTATATGTACTCTTACGCTATAAGCCGAAGTTGACGAGTATTAGGACATCCCAATCCGTTATTCATTAGGATTCTAACTTTCCTATTTTTACTTACGGCCCTATTCATTTTTTATGCCACCTCAACCTTTTCTTGTGTTAACAATAAAAATGCAAATATTTTATTTCAAATGGGGATAATGCATAAAATCTTCATATTACCAATTACACACCTTTTCTTTTCGGGGGTTCTATTACCCCTGAACTTTTTTCCCCATAATTTCTTTAACCTTATACACTTAATTAAACCTGAGCGTAACTACAAATCTTCCAAGCGCGTAAGGACTAAATTTAAAAGGCACGTCTGCTATATAATCACCACGTGTTGTACAAAATAAGCCATAAGAAAGGCTCCCAGACGTAAAACTCAGCTTTTTTATTTGAACCCATTCTTTTATCACTCCTTCCAAACGTAAAGTATATGCCATTGTTGAAGAGCTTCTACTGGTGGTATTGAAATTGAAGAGGTGACACTACTAGAAATTCGGTCAAAAAACCGGCAAAAAAACCGACCAAAGTTGGTCGGTTTTTCAAAATATTTTATTTTTTAATTTTTTTTACGAAACCGATCAACTTTGGTCGTTTTTTTTGGCGCAAAAATGCGGGAAACTATTTTTGAGTCCCGCGAAATTTAATTTTCAAGAAACCGGCCAACTTTGGTCGGTTTTTCAATTAAAATAAATAAAAATTAATATTAAAAAATCCGACCAATTCGGCCGGTCATTTTAAAAAACCGACCAACTTTGGTCGGTTATTTTCGTGCGAAAATACAATTAAAGAGTATAAATCAAATAAAAGACAGTCTTAAAACAAAATGCACCAATGGTCTAGTGGTAGAATAGTATCATGCCACAGTACAGAAACCGTTTTGATTCCCAGATGGTGAATCTTTTGATTACATAATTAAAATTCGGTGAGCTAGGAAATTGAACATAAGTGAGCCCCTGCAACTTCAATTGACGGGAATTACTGAAGAACAGCAACCAACGCAGCTCAAACAATTAGATCTGAGGAAACCTGAGCAGACATCAAAGGGCCAAACTCCAGATAACACTTGGTTTGGGCTATTCAATTGCAATCGAGCAGCAACTAATGTTATGTCACTTGATTACATACCACCAGAATTGATTGATGGAAGTCTACTAGTCAAGCTCGATAAGGAAGAAACAAACAGGGAAGCTGATAAGTAGAAGGTTGCTTTAGTAGTTTATGTGATAGGTGAAACACCAAGATATAACTATATGAGATGATATGTGGCTCAAAATTGAAATATGGTAGCTGAACCTGAAGTGTATTATCATGAAAAAGGGTATTATATTGTTAAATTCCAGTCGATGGCTGATTTGAATGAAGTACAGTATGCAGGCCCATATAGCATAAACAACAAACCTATGATCTTGAAGCAATGTCGCCCGAAGTTTGATTTTAATGCTGAGTTCCTTACAGAGCTGCCTTTGTGGGTTAAATTTCCTAGCCTACCTATGAATTTTTGGAGCCGAGATTCATTGAGCAGGATAGCTAGTGCGATTGGAGTGCCAAAGTATGTGGATGAATGCACAGCAAAGCAAACCAGAATATCATTTGTCAGGATGCTTATAGAGGTCAATGTCACCAAGCCATTACCAGATGAAGTAAATGTACTGGATCCATCAGGTAAAACATTTCAACAATCAGTTATATTTGAATGGAAGCCAGATTATTGTGAAGAATGTTTAATGATAGGACATAATTGTACAAAGCAGAAAATGAATGATGTGAAGAATGAGGAACAAAGAAACAACAACTTTCAAAAGAAGAAGCAAGGTCCTAAGAAAGTGGTACAAACCTGGGTGGTCATTTTGCTTGCCAAAATTAACAAAGACAAAGGTGAAAATTGGGTTGCTAATGGTATAATCACTCGCTGTTCACTTCCATTTTTTAGGGTTTCAGCTATCACCCTAGCACTGACTGAGCTTCCCACTGTTACAATTGCTTGTTTCTTTGGTCTTCTTTGCCCTCTAGCCATGGCCGCCGCCGTCGGCGTAGGTTTACTTAACTTGCGTCGATCGCCCTAGTCTAGAGAGAGAAGTTTTTCAAAAGATAGAATTGCGGTTTCAAATTAGTTATTACCTCAGAATATACACCTTAAAATCTTTTACGCATAAACGAATTAAAAATACTAATACTTTATATGCAAATGAGAATAATATAGGTTTTGAGTTATTTCTATTTTAAGGAAGACTATAGAACGAAACTCAAAGCATACATATAGCAACTATCTTGAGTAAATATGGTTATTCTTATTATTATGTCAACTCCTATTTTTATATACATATCAAGAGTTAAATATTTTTAACTAACGATGTGTTTGGTAGGAAGGAAAATTTTTATGGAAAGTATTTTTAAATTTTTTCATGTTTGGTTGGCTTCAATGTTTTGAAAAATATTTTCCTCATCGTAATTTAATTTATTGTGAGAGAGTTACGGTAAGTATAAATTAAAATTACTAGAAATTGAAATAGAAAACTCAAAATATAAATAAATAATCCGACTATTTATTGTAATAAAAAAATTCAGAATATGTTCGGCTTTTTGATATGTCACATCGAATGATTTATTTTCCACTTGAACTAGAC